GTATTCTCTTCTAAGATTTTAAGAGTTCCAAAAATGAAAAGCAGTACAAAATTCTCTTTGAAATGAAAGTAGCCCGAGTGCTGTAGCTTGAAGCGTATTGAAAAAATATTTGTACGCATGAACACACTATTTTACACTATGACTTCTGAATGGTAAGATTTTGAATCGTGAAAACTCTTTTTAATTGTATGCTTTCATTAGCTAAGCATCTTTAGAAAGTTTCATAGAACTTCCATGCAATGTATCGATTCTCGAAAGAGGAGGAGATCTTGATCAAATGAAATTTACCATTGCAGTTGTTGCTTCATCATCTTGTGTAGGTCCTTTAGATTGTTGTTTTTGTTGTTGTTTTTCAATATACCATCGATAAGGATTTTTCTGTTTTCTTTCAAGTTCTTCCGAATCCCATGGATTTCCTGATTCATCATAAACAATTGTAGTTCGTCCTGGTCGTGTTGAAGTACGTTTACTCTCTAATTCTTCTGGTTCAGATTGATCATCTAATTGACTTGAACTTTGACTACTACTACGACTACGTGCACTTCTTTCAGTATTATTTAAATCTTCTTGAACTATTGGAACTTCAGATGATGATGTAAAAATATCTTGACATTCATCTATAAATATATTTTGTTCATTATTATTCATACGTGATAATTCAGTTTCGAGTAATTTTGTTAATTTTTCATAAGCCTAAGTAAATAATAATTTTCTAATTTTAACAATGAAATTTTCTTTTTTTGCTTACACCGGGTGGTAATGTTTGATTAAAATGTGGAAAAAACGTCATAGGATGATCAAGTAAAGTTGATATATAACTATCAATTAATTGACGACGTTTTTCTGCAGTAGGTAATTCACGACTGAAATATATTTGACGATCTGTTAGACGATTTCGAATATTTGATACATTAGCTTTTATTCGACGACTTTGAGAGAGTACAATTGGACTTGGACCTTTTTCAGGCTATTAGAAACAACAAAAACAAAACAAGAATATACATAAAAAGATAAATTAATAAAATTTACTTCTAATATAATATCATCATGTGATGGTGGTAAACCATCACGAAAATCATCTAGACCATCTTTAACAAATTTCCAATTTTTTGTGTCCATATGACATGGATATTTCATTTTAAGACGTTCTCGATACCTAGATAAATTTCAAGAATTTTTTTCTTTTTTTTTTATAAATCATGCAAAGTATAGGAGAGCAAGAATTAAAGAAATAAAAGCAACTAATGTAAGAATTTGTCTCACTTTGAATTATTTATAAGCCTAGACAGATTTTTTTTTCAATGTCAAAATATGATAAATACAAAAAATTGATGAATAGATAAAAGATAGAAATACCATGGCTGAAATTTTGGTGTTCGACGACGATCTTCAATTTTAGGTAGAAGAACATATTTAAGTTCGTTGGACATGTTTATTTATCGTCCTTGATATTATGTGATGATCTTGAGATATAATAACTATTTAATCCCATAAGATAGATTCTTTTAATGGGTTACTATGGTTATCAATCGATTTGGATTAGAGATAAGTTTATTTTTTTTCAAAAAATCGTTTTATTCAACTTATCATTTCAAATAAAGTTTGACAGATGATTAAATTTCTTACAGTTTTCAAATTATTCATGGATAGAGGGAGACAGATGTCGAGAAAAAATTTTATATGCGATTTATTTTCTTTTAACAATAAAAATTGCTTTTCTCGTTTATTGAAAACGTTTTAAAGATATTCGATAGCCAAGACCGAAAAGGCACCCATGTCATTCAAACCGCTCGAAAACCGACAGTTCACCGTGGTTCTCCAGCTGAATTTTTTTCGTGTCACAGTGGTCACTTGTACCAGCCACATCACTCATATTCGCATCGTTTTCGAGTTTGAGTTTTTATTAAAGATGGCGCCATAAAAATAGTCATTTGTTAGACGACTTGATCAATGGGAAAATGTGGCGCCATCTGACAGAATTTACTGCTACATGATTAAGTCGACTTTTTGTCCGTAAGTAAGTTAGCGCAAGATTGGAGTAAATCCAGTTAAGATTTGTCTAGGAACATGTCCCAGAGTTCCTATTCTTGTTCCAAGTACAACTCGATAAGCTGTATCCAGTGATATAATCGAATTTCGCATAGGTCAAATTACGATTTTTGAGACCATAGATGGCGCTATAAAAAAATCGGAAAAATTATAGTTTGAGCTTTGAATAATCTGATTATACCACGGGATAGAGCTCGTCGAGTTGTACCGGGAACAAGAATAGGAACTCTAAAACATGTTCCTAGACGAATCTTGTGCTAAGAATCCTATAGGCAGATACTAAAATTTTGAGGTTTTCTCGGACATGGTATGAGCTATGGAAAATCTAATTATACCATTGGATAGAGTTCGTTGAGTTGTGCTTGGAATAAGAATAGGAACTTTGGAACATGTTCCTAGACAAATTATCTACGTCGGGATTTTTAAGTTGGAATCGACTTTTTCAAGACTAAAAATATTAATTTAGTAATACAATAGTACAAAAAAAAACGATAAACGAAGGAAAAACCGAGTCCAACCGCCGGTAACCCTCGGTTTTGATACAAAATCGACGACATGGACATGATCGTGTGCTACGAAATACATCAAAAAACAATCGTCATATACGACACCATACGTTCGAACATGAATAACGTACAAGATTTCATGCGGTCGTAACATAGTTGTGAGTCGAGTTGAGCTTATCGAGCACGTTGGTTTTTCGTTCTAAATTTAGCAGTAAATATAATAGTAAGTATTCAATTGATAATAAATATTTTTTTTATTTAGATTAAATCGAATAATATATTCTACAGTAGATATTTTAATTTTTAAATAAATAAATAAATTTTGTTCTATTATTTCGATCAATTTGAACAACAGATTAGATAGTAAGTATCTTTTCCAAGTGAAGAAATAATATTTCATGTGTTTAGTGGAGGGAATTGAGGTACTCAGGTAGAACAGAACGGCGAAAATCGGTGTCTTTACATCGCCGTTTAAGATGCCGTCTCCGACGGTTGGAATGATCGTTTCGGATGAGCTCCACTCTCTTGAGTGACCAGACACAATGCTATGCGATGTCGTATACCATTGTTTACGGCTGTCGTAATACTTGTGCTGAGAGACGGAAACCTATCTTAGACCAAGGTAGGCTTAAACATTTGTTTGCCGTTATATCTGATTGATGGAGTACATCGAAATTCTTGAACAAATGTCAGAGTTTTTCAGCGGCAAACAGTAATATTTTCGTAGTAAAGTAGACTTAGAAAACGTTCTTAAGGAAAAATGCAATTTTTTATGAATAAATATTATGCGCCACATTGTCAATGACTTGAAGTAGTGCTCTGTTGTGACAAATGAAGAAGAACTGTACTGAAAACTCAAGTTAGATAAATTTGAAGCTGTCGAAAGCTTTTCTTCGCTTTCAGTGACAAAGGTTAGATGTCTAATGAGGGTAGTTCTCCAACCGATTAATTGCTTTTAAGTTTGGACTATGTACAGCATGTAGATCCTAATGAGTTATGAATACTCCGAAAAGAGTTCAGATCCATAGCATATTGCTGCCGACATATTGCATTTTTTACGATATTTTTCAATACAATACCTTAATATTTTCAATAAAGTGAGCAAATCCACAATGTAATTCATTTCGTTTATGTCAACACTTCTGCTTCACTATTACTCTATTTTGTAGTAAAGTAAATCAAAAATTTTTCTTTCTAGAGTCAAAATTAAATAAAAACAAATGTTGATGGGTTTCTTTAAATGCGCATTCTTTTGACACAATTTGTGAATTTTTTCTGAATCGTACCAGTTTTATACAGTCCAAAATGTGAGTTAGAAATAAGAAGCACTAAGTGTATTTTTCATTTGGATGGCATTAAGAGATTCTTCTTCTTCCTTCTCATTCTTAACTTCGAGGTGGAGATGTTATAAAAATTGTGGAGTCTACCCGTAGATTCAAAACGTTTCGTCGTCTATAGCATATTCTTCTGAATATGTGTCCGTAGCAAAAAGAAAATATTTCATTGTGACATGTCGGAAACTTCTAAAAAATTGAAAATAATTTTTCTACTAGTATGGATTTCGAAAAATGTTACTTTGTGAAATGTTTTAAAGAGTCTTCCGTTGTTTAAAAATTGTTTTCATTCCTTCGACCTCTTTTATCAATAATTCCATAATCGATTCAAAGAATGTTTATTGTTAATTCTTTAATAACAAAAAAAAAACCAATTGAATGAAAAATATTCTATTTTATATTACTAGATTCAAGGTGATAAGATTTGAATATCATCCGTGCCGCTTGACTGACTCTTATTTTTTATCTTACAATCAAAAAATTAAAGATGATACAAATTTTTTCCATAGAAAAATAATTATTCATTTAGTTTTATAGTAATAATAATATTAAATTTTTACTTGCTAATTGTAAAACTCCATACGAACTTAAGCTTTTCTTCTTTTTATTTGAGTATATATCCATTTGATGACAATAAATCTATCTATTTTATACAAAAATGTTCAAGACCATTATAATCTCCATAATATTTGAATCTCCTATAAATAAATTGTATTTTTCCATTCTATTAATTTAAATCTTAATTTTTAATGTTTCATTAGAATGTCAAAAATTGTTTTATATATAAAGAAAAACAGAAACACAATTGTAAGAATAATAAACATAAAAAGAATAGAATATGAATAATGAACATAAAACACAAAAAAGAAAGAAAGAAAAAGAAAAAACAAAAGATATATTGTGTGCACCGGGATTAAAACCATGCGCACAAATACAAAAAAAAAGAGACCTAATTTACATTGAACAAAAAAAAAAAACAAGTGTGTTGAACATCCAATGAGATTCACTGTATATTTATTTGTATAAAAATGAACTGTCAAATACACCTGACCGGACATGAGAGAATACTGTTTTGAAGCACCTTCTCTGTCTCAAACAAAATCACATTTAATTAATCAGTAAAAATAAGTTCTTTTTGCGAATTATTACTACCATCTGAACTACAATCATCATTATCTGGAAAATAAAAATTTCAAAAAAAAAAAAAACCTAAAATAGAAGATTTATTTACTTAAATAATGATTATCATCAGGTGAATATTGTTCATCAAATGGACCTATTTTTCGTTGTTTTAACATTTGTTTATATTCTGACCTAATACAGAAAACAAAACAAAAAAATATATATATATATAAATAGCAAAACAAAATCCACTTACCAACGAATTTTTTTTCCATCAACAACACATGTTCGTTTTGGTCGAGGTCTATATCGATAATCTGGATATTTTTCCATATGAACTTTACTTAAACGTGATTGTTCTTCGTAATATGGCTGTTTTTCTTCATTACTCATTGCTTTCCAACGAGTACCTAATATTTTACTAATACTTGAATTATGCATATCCGGACAAGCTTTTAAAATTTTTCGTCTTTCTTCACGTGCCCAAACCATAAATGCATTCATAGGACGTTTTATATGATCATTTGATGATATAATTTCTTGATTTCCATTATTTGAAGTTAAAATTGATAAATTTGTTGATGGTATTGAATGATTTCGTTCTTTTCTATTTGTTGATATTTGACGAACTAAATAGAAATTTTGGTTTTTGTTTTTTTTATATATTTTTCATTTACAATAGATTAACTATTATTATAATAGACAGATAACGTTTTGTTATGTATAATATCATATTAGACAAAAGAAAAAATATTTTGTTTGCCTGTCTATTATTATTCTCATCACTGTAATCATTGAATATCTATATTGCTAATTGACTAGTTTCTTTGTATCTTTGTTTTTATTATGTTAACGATAATCGATCGCAACGGAATGCGATATGATTCGACGATTTAATGTTTTTTTTGTTGTTGTGTCATCCCAAAAAAAAGCAATAGACAAAAATATTTTAATTTACCTAATGATGAGTTTCTATCAATAGACGATTCACGATGATGATGATGTTGTTGTTGATGATGATGATGATGATGATGATTATTGTTATTATTTATTGTATCAATTGATGTTGTTTTTACATTCGATGAATGATGAGGAAGATGGTTTGGTGTCGATGAAAAAGGAAACATATTGAAACCTGATAGAAAATCCATAGAATTACTATAGAATCTAGATTATATTCATGTATTTTTTTTTTTATTACCAGTAAGAAATGGTGATGGTAATGAACCTTTTAAATTGTTATTTTCTCCATTTTTTAAATTCTAAAAAAAAAGAAAAAGAAATTTTAAAGTAAAAAGAAAAAAAAATCAATAATATTTATATAGATATACATACAATTGAATCGTTAAGCACGGATGCAGCTGATAATTTTAAATAATTTTGTAAATGTGTCATATTAGCAACTATAGTAAAAACAAAAATAAAGTCAAGATAAAAAAAGAAAAAATTTTTTTTTTCATTAAAAAAATTTTTTTACCAGAAAATGGTGAAAAAAATGGTGGAGAAGAAAAAAGTCCAGATGTTAATGGAAAATTTGATGATGATGTTGTTGGTGAATTTAAATCATCATGAGTTTGTTGTTTAAGTTTTGGTTTAGATAAATTTAATGGATGTGTATCATCATGATTAATTGTTTTTATTTTTTCACGTATATGTTTTAAACTATTAATAAGACAATCAATAGTTGATAATAAATTTTCATCACTATTATCAAATTGTTTTTCATCAACTAATGAATCGATTAAATTAAGAATCATACGAACACTTGTTGTCGATGATGATGATGATGATGATGAAGGATTTTGTGGTAATTTCGATTGAGAATGACTTTTACGACGATTTCGTTCTTGTCTTACTTTAATATCTTTTGTATGAGATTCGTTTATTAAAGATGGAGGAGATGTTGAATGATTTTCATTTGATTCATCTATGAAAATAATTTCTTTTCTTTTATCAAACTTCAAAAAATAATTAAAAAAAACTTATTACTTACGTTCATCAGTTGATGGAGAATTATGATTTAAAAAATCTTCAGTTTTGATATATTTCGTTGTTATGGAATCATCTTCTGGACATGATATTAAAAGTGATTCAAGCTGATCAAAATCATACTTTCGTTTTACTGACATTATAAAAAATCTAGAAGAGAAAAATATATTTGTTAATTTGAATAGAATGGATATATTATAGAATAAATTCTTCAATAAAAACTCACTTTTATCAAAGTATGTTAACTATATTCCTAGCAGCCAAAAGAAAAAAAAAACGAAGAAATATTTGCTAGTGCATTCCGTTTATATATAATTTCTTTTTCTTGATCACACATTGTGTGATAAGAGTGTAAAAACAAAAGAACAATGAAAAACTGAGATGAGAAAGTAAAAAAAAAAAGCAAGAAAATCTTCCTTTTGAAATGTTACTCGACTTGTTCAAGTGTCATATTGATCTTTTTATCGACAACAACAATAACGCATCAATATACAAAGTCAAAGACAGATCAGACACGTAGTTTATATTGAATAAAAATCTTACTATTACTCTTGTTTCTTTCTTCTTCTTCTTCTTCTCAATTGATATCATTAGATTTGTTCGGTTGTTCGGACGAATAATTTATTATATGTAAGAACCACTTTTATGAATATAAAAAAAAAAAAAAGAAAGAAAAAAAAAGTCTTGTATGTGTGTGTGTGTGTATGTGTTCGCTTTTAATTCATACAAAAAGAAATAAAACGAAGAAGAAAAAAAAATGGCATTGCACTTTATATTATAATACTAAGCAAGAATCAGCAGGTGATGACAGGAGACATAATAAAAATGCTGATACGTGCGCGTACGAATACGACATGTGAGAAAACGTTCAAGAACAATAATCAAAGACGAAAAATGAAGCGATCATATATCTATATTGAATATATAAAATTGAATCATCATTATCATCATCCGAGTTATACACGAACGTGTACGATATACGCTCCTTCATAGTTGTCCTTGCATGTTTGTTAAACGATTTCAATCTTTTTTTCTCTCTCTCTCTCTCTCTCTATCATTCTTTCTAATTACCTGTGTCCACCACTATATATTTGATAGGAGTAAAAAAAAAAGTCGATTTAGGACTATTATATTGATCTTCTTTCTACACTATATGAGGCCGATCATATGAAAGAAATCTAATGAAGCGAGTAACGAAACACAGAGAAAGAGAGGAAGAGAGAGAGAGAGGGAGAAATTTTTCACACTTCTAATGCACACTTTTATTAAATATACATATTACGTTGTAAAGCAAGCACATATAATGTAAGAATAACATTCTGTCCATTTTAATACTTCGTTTACTATTCATATATATAATATATAGTACCGACAATGCATTTTGATTATTTACATGAGAAGTGAAACCTTGTGTCAAACAACAGTACTCGCCAAAGGACAGAAAAAGAAACACTAGAAATAATAATAATAATAATAATAATAAACTTGTTGCAATTAAATGTCAACATATGAAAAAGCAAAAAAAAAAAAAAAAGAGAATAAACGATCATATACGATAAATTATACGTGTATGTTAGGGTAGATATATCGTATCTTGTGATATTTAATAAAGAGGAGCTTCTTTTTCTCTTCTCGTTACCTGTTTGTCTACCTGAGAGTATGACAAGCATAAAGAATGAGAGCTAATGGAGTGTAGAAATCGTCCAAGACGAATAAGAACTATCAGATTCTTTTTTTTGCTTCGTTAAATAGAGGATGTTTGCCGCGTGTATGACACTCTTGTTTCTTATTGCACCATACCCGGATTTTAGTTTCGTTTATATAATTGATATTGTCACACACACACACAAACATGCCCTATTGTTTTTTAGCACTATTAATAGTTATATGCAACTGTCGCTCACTCCCTTGCACTTATGATTGATGAACTTTATTTCTCTCTCTTTGCAACTAATAATATGTTCATACATATACATTTAGAATAAGAAAAGAGAGTTGATCATAAGCAACAATTACAAACATACTATTATACATGAATAAATTTCTCGATTTATTGACAAGACTATGCTTACTTACCTTATTATACAATGTCTTTTGTATTTGCTTGTTGCTTAATAAAATGAATAAATGTGTATAAGACTATTCATTTTGTGATTGGTGTTGAGAAATAATTTTGCGTCAATTTTTTCTTTCCTTCTATTTTCTTATGCTTTATAATTGTTGTTTTTTTGCTTTATGAATCGAACGTCAATAGAATACACAAAGAAAAATTATTACCATCAATCGTAGTTATGCATTTTAATGCGATGTTGGATACACCTTGGTACTATGATTATGTGTATATGTGAGTAGTCGTTCTTTCTTCTTTTCTCTCTCGCTCTCTCTCTCTCTCTTCTTTCTTTTCTATTAAGAATCTATTGTTCGGAGTATATACCGAGCATGCAATACGCCAACGGCGCGCGAGACTTGTATTTTACCTCTACTGACACAATACACTCTTCTTTTTCTTCCTTTTTTTACGCTCGACTTCACATCATCATCTATATTCAATTGCGTCGCTTTGTATGTATATACATATACTCCACACAATACACATCATCGTTATGATGAGCATACTAACTGATTTTGTACATAAAACATAGTAGAAAATTGATAAACTATATTACTTACATGCTCATTCATTCATTCATTCATTTGACAGATGTAACTCGGATTGTTTTTTTAAAGTAGAAGAAAAATATCTGATTCTTTTTACTCTTTTTTTTTTTTTCTCTCTTTCTTTTTCATAAACAATAGAAAGACAACGATTCTCTATTCATTCGTCGAGAAGATTTGACGAGGGATAGCATTATTAAATCTTTCTTGTCATCAGGTGTCATATGAAGAGACAGAAAACAAGAAAAGTAATTCTTTCTTTTTTTTTTTTTTTGACTAAAAAGACAAGCGGAATAGAACGAAGAAAAAGATCATACTATCATCGTTAATGATATATGTAGTAGTCAATTTTAATCGGCCTTTACCTCGATCATCATTTGTACATTATTAATTTCGTTTTTTTTTTCTTTTCTCGTCGGTTACAAGTGTTAATGCGTGACAGCTTCAAGGATATTAATTTGTATAAGCATATGTCAATTGCTGAGCAACTTGTCAGTACAACAATTGGCATAGTCTTTATTCTAGTATTCATTTTATGTATCTTCTGTCGTTTGTTGTTGACTCTGATTTCTTTTTTTTTTTTGTCTCTGAATAATGGGAGTATGCGAAAAAAAAGCAAACAACTCCCAAGTTCCTCTTTTTTTTTTTTTTTTTTTTTTTTTACTATCTGTTGCCATTTGCCTAACAGTATATCATTATCTATTGACTGAAAGACAGATAGTCTGTATCATAATATACAGGGACATCCATTGTTCTCTGGTTTGTTATCATCACCTAATAATTAATTTTGTTTTTCCTTCTTTTCTTGTTTAATTTTCGATTGAAAGAGAATCGGTTAAAATCAACGAAAAAATAAGAAAAAAAAAAGACACAAAAAGTAAGAACGACAATATACGATTACTTATTACGAGTATTAAATAATAAGAAAAAAAAAAATTGTGAGTAATACGATGAATCAACTTAAGAAATAAATCGTAGAAAATTATGAATAAATAAAGTAAATGTGACAATATAAGTTCGCTTGAAAAAATCTTCTGTGACAATAGAGCAATCGAGCAAGAAAGGTACTATTGTACAATATTGCAAGTATACTGAAGGTTGCATGTATGCATTGTTTCTTATTAAAAGAATGAATGGAACTACTTATTATACATCGTGATTTCAAGGCAAATGGCCGCGTGCACAAATGATTGAGAGAATGAATAAACGATTATGGACATGAGTTTCAATCATTTCTTTTTTTCTTTCAAATGAATAAAAGAGAAAAAAAAATATTGTTAAAATAATTCAGTCGATGTCGTGTTGTATCTTAATTCGTTTCTCACAGTAACCATCAAAACTATTGCTTTTGATGATATGGTGATAATTTTTTCCTTTGCTTACTTGACTGTAACTCGCGTTGATATATTTACTTTCACCCATTTACACAAGGACAAAAGAATACAGAATGCAAATGGACAGAAGAAAAAAAACCTACGAAGCAAAGAAAACAAAAATATGTTGATGGGTTAATTACTATTGAAGATTTTTGTTTCGATAATAATGACAAACAAAAATATATATATATATATATATATATATAAAGCAAAAGAAAAATCTATTGTGAATATTATCATTAAATAAAGAAATAAAACAGGAAGCATTTACCTGTCTTAGTATGAGTTCAAATCAGAAATAAATTAGCATTTATTCTATAAAGTAATAAAAATTCTATTGACCTTTTTTCTTTCTTTTTGCAATATTGCGAAACCTTACTATACACAGTATGACGATACAATGCGAAGCCAAGCAACAAGAGCCTATATTAGCAATAAGTGTAAAATATTGTTGATGTTGCTCTATTATATGCATTTATTGCAAGAATAACAATATCAAGAAGACTAAAGGTTCTGTTAACATGATCAAGACATTAATCGTCATAAATGCGTAATACTAATACTTTTATGAAAGTGAAGAAAAAAAAACGATTTCAGATTTTCCAAAAGTTACATGATACAAAGGTCAAATACAAGTATATATATATATATATATATATATGTGTACATATAAATGCACGTACTCAGAGAATAAATCTCCTCCTTTCTCCAACTAATAACAGACAAGCATATGATAGATATATCGAATCATCATCTATCTCTTCAATATTTCGACTATGCTATCATGATCAATCATGTATAATATTAGACAACGACAACATGACATAGCTTTGTCTTCATCATGAACTAACTTTTTCCTTTCGAAAGATGATATAAATATGGTATATAACGGTGTGTATTGTTGACAAGTAAGGACAAAATGGACGCACATATAGACAGATATAGACTATCGTTTATCTCATATCGATTCTAGATGAATGTCAAGAAATCGATATATAGAAAAATGATGATAGTAGTCAATTAATCTAATACGAGATTACAGTAAAACAAGTTGTTCTTTATTGTCTATCAATAAGCACACATAAGATTAATTGTAAGACAAAAAGAAAACAACAACGAATGATGACATTCACACGAATGAATATTCAATCACTTTTGCGTTCTTTTTTTGCTTTTTTGATTTTAATAAAATAATAATCATAAGATATATACGAATTTATATTTAACAACTATACAACTAATCCGAATATACACATATGATTCTATTACAAACAAAAGAAATTGTATATTACAAGATTTCAATATTCACGTTAATTTTAATAGTCTTCACACGTCCTATTCATTAACTATACAACTAGATGAATGTCCTTGTGTTGTTATGAAAAAGAGAAATGTGCATGTATATATATATATATATATACATCTTGCTGTCTCACTCTTCGAGATTTTTTTTGTTTTATTCTCTGCTTCTCATTGTTAATCGGTGTAGTACGTGACTAAAAAAATAAAAGTGATTGCATCAACACACGTCATCCATTCATATATCGTCAACAGTACCAGTCACAGATCATAATATTTGTTCGAGCACATAGCATATACTTACATACGAGATATTGATCGTTGTCGAATCCGATTTCGCTCAAGCTACATTTACCATACACAAAAACCATTGCTATCAACATAAACAACAACACTGCTATGTTGTTATTGTTACGAATATCTTTTATCCTCGTCTTTCTTTTTTTTTTCTTTCTAAGTATTTGTTGTAATATAATCTGTACAGCGTCTGTTTGCTTGTCCTTCTCTCACTCTAAGCTTATTGATACGCATTAAGTCGTGCGCACAGGCATATTCGTATATGCGCACCAGTAAAAAAAAAAAAATCAACTAACTACTTATACTATTGTAGTTTAACGACCAGAACATAACTATGCGGTAGATAAAATATAATATAATATTTGTCCATTAGATAATATCACTTTCACTGAAAATTCTTATTGCCGTTATCATTTTTTGACAATGATGATAATGGCAAAGAAATAAAAAAGAAAAAAAGAAACCTGTTATCATTCATGCTAAGGATACATAAAAACAACAAATAATTATTAGAAAAAAAAAGGCATTAATAGAACATGAATAAAATCAAGATAGAATATTCAAATAAAGAATTATTATTTCCGTTAAATTAACAACTCGATTCGAATGATAATGAGATATAGGGAATAAATAATAATACTAATAATAATAATCATTGTATTTATTATTAAATCTCTAAGAACAAGGACAATATTGTATTTTACCTGTATCCTTCTCTCTTTGGAAAATTTAAAGCTTTAAATAACAACAAGAGCAAACAATAGTTATTTTTTTTTCTTCTTCTTCTTCTTCTTCTTCTTCTTTTGTAATCATTATTACTGTATACATTAAGCAAAAGAGCAATAATGTCAGTAAGAGGGTGCAAGCGACATGAATAATGGTATAAAAACAATAGCAGCTAATTACCTATTATCATCGGCTCGAGAATTATGATGGCAACGGCTGTTGTTGTTGTCAACTGTATATAAAAACGATTGCACAGACGAGTGAAAGTGACGAAGAGAAAAACCGTGGTACAGTGTCTACTATAATCGTAGAGGTTATTTCTTTTATAGCTTTTTATACCATACAGAAAAAGAGAGTATTGATGATGATTATTGTCATTCGACCAAGAGAGAGAGAGAGAGAGAGAAAGCAAGAAAAGAAGGAAAGAAGTATTAGAAGAGAAAAGAGAGAGAGAGAGAGAGAGAACACATCATTTGACGATCGATATGGCATCATTGTCTTACCTCAAAATCAGACAAGACTCTAATCCCATTTGTATATGTATACTTGTCAATTGACTTGACTTAGTAAAGACATAAAGTTTGATTATTGTTACTGTTTTTGTACATCTTGCTTTTAACACTCAACGTTTCTCATATTCATCCTTGATTACATTTCATGTTCTGTAACGATTAAGAAAAAGGAGTACTATCACAGCTGTTACTTTCACTCTTTCCTTCGTTTTTTTCTTCTTCTTCTCAAATTGACAGTTGTCACGTCATAAGAATACAACAAAAAAAAGTGGAAAGAAAAGAGAAAATTCTGTCAAATCTTTATCCATATGTGTTCCATAAAAAAAAAAAAAAGAAAAGATCGAACTATAGTGTTTACTTAATGTGGCGACTGATAAACATTTTCTTCTATACACAATCATCTTTTGTCAGATAAGAACTAAGCTCTCAATTGCAATGCCAACGAAGAACGAAGGAGAGAGAGAGAGAGCAAGTGTTGCTCTCATTATCCATCCTATCGATTACAGATCTTCTTTAAGGCATATTTCAGTGTGCCTTATCCTTCATGCCATCGTGAATACTTTTTTTTTTGCTTTTCTCGTCTCATTATCTCATTGTACAAGCAAAAGAAAAGAGAGTAGTACTTATAGCCTTGAGGTTAAATGCGCACTACCATCACTACTGTGCATAATATTCTATGCTGTTTGCAATTTTCCTGGCGGCACTGGTGCTTGTGCAATCCGATCTTTCGAAAATCAATCTTTATCTTTGAGAGTTAGTACATATAAATACTTATTTATATCTAGAAGAATGCAAAAAAAAGAAAAGAAAAGGAGAAAAGTACCTGACGTTGTCATCAGTTTGCATCTCTTGTTCTTCCCTGTGAACAAATGAGCACATCAATCGAGAAAGAAAAAGATTATATTACATCGTGGTTTGCTCCCATAATTGTTGTTATATCGCATATTTCAATGTATGATCAATAGGACAAATGATCGATATTCTTCAAAGATGGAAAAGAAATACTATAAATGTTATTTTAACGTAAGATGAATGAATAGAATGAAGACTAGAACACATCTGTATATTTATGATCTTAATATGAATAAGAGAATTTAACAGTTATATTAGATTCATTTATGAACAGTTGCGCTTACATATGTACACACATATATATATACACATCTATATAAGACTTACTTTTCCTTTTAACAGTTGTATACTAATTTGTGTCACTCAAATTCGCGCGTACACAATGACAATCCATTCAACCTTTTGACTACAGATACATAACCGTCATTCGATATATCTGTATACACTCATTAGCTATCTGTCAATGAGTGACATAATGGTAAAGAGAAAGTCAGATAGGAAAAAAAGTGTTGTTCTTATCGCGAGACACTTTTTGCACGATGGTCGGCGAATGGAACAAAGGCGATCGCGTTTCTACTCTCAATTAGATCTGTATATATGAGATCTAATCTATATACCCCAAGTGGATGAGAAAAAAAAAAAAAGAAGAAAGATAAAACAATAACAACAACACTAAGCACAAACAACAAGAGAGATTCTATATCTCGTATGGCCTAAAATAATTTAGCTTATGAAGATATTATAACATAACATTACTGTTAGGTTTTTTGTCCCTCGAAAATATCCATAGATTTATTTATTAATCGAAAAAAAAAAAAAAGAAACAGAAATAATTAACTTGAAATTTTTGGTGTTGAAATAACTGTTAATGTTTCTCGTCGTTGTGAACGAAGTGATTTATTTGATAGATATCGATGAGTTAATTTCTTATGTGAACGTTTTGTTTGTAATTCATTTTCCATTAAAGGTACAACAACAATAGGATTTGTATTTGTTTGTTCAAATTTAAATTTTGTTTCACGTGTCGTTTGTTGTGTTGTATAAGGACGTAAATCTATAGTTGATCGTTGTGTACGTAAATTAAGTCTCGTACGATTTTGATCACGTATATTTGATAATGATGAAAATGGAAAACGTTTATATTGATGATATTCATTACCTGGTGCACAATTACCAAGACATGCTAAACGTTTACATTCATTACAACGTAATTCACGTTTTAATTCATTTATATCTCGTATATCTTTTTCATTATTAATTTTTGATGAATATATTCCATTGGAATTTAATATATTATTATCAAATGTACCATTTTTTATAAGACGATTATATATAATTAAATTTTGACGACGACGTTGTTCCCATTTAATTGTATTTGCTTGTAATCTTGAAAATAATAATAATATGATATCAAACAAAAAAACACAAGAAAGTTGAATTCAAGAGTATGAAACCCGTTCGAAGATACAGTTCATTTCAACTATAACTCAATGTTTGTCAGTCTAGGAAAATCCTATAGTTATTCGATTTCATGTTCTGTCGTGATAAAAAAAAATCCGAAAGCATTTTCAACTGATCAATCACGTTTAAATTCGGACTCTATGCATAAGGTAGATACCAACGAGATATGAAAAATCTCAAAAGAGTAAATCTCTCAGGCCATCTATCCAATTCTGACCTTCTCAGCAAAGAAATCTTCTATATAGTGAACACATATACAACAAAGTATACGTTTTCCATTTACGAATATCAGATGACGACAACATTATTCAAGTTCATCGAGGTAGTGAAGAGTATAGGACGATTTCACCTACTAGTTGTCTTTCAACAACTACAACGGTGTACTCTTATTGTGCAATTCAAGTCGCAGCTCATTCAACTTTTCATCGACCCGAAAGGAATCAAGTAGATAATCATTGACGTTCTTTTAGTAAAAATGTGCAGTAGTTTTTTGCTTCGAGTTAATTCTCATATGTAAAGTGCATACTCATGAACTAGTCATACTGACCACTGTATACATGTAAAAATTCAGTCAATGCAAAAACTCTATATAATGAACATCTCCATTAGTGAACATTTTTTGCAGGTCCGCATGTTGTTCTCTATAGGGAAGCTTTATTGTACCAACAAATTGAATGACAGTATATTGACCTGCGCTTTTGGCTACAGACGGGTCTATTTGTCAGTAGAATGCCTTGAAAGTTTCAGTTCAAAAGAATCTTTCCTTTCCGAAATGTTAAAATCATCAAAACTGCTCATATTCCAAGAAAGATGCTAGAGTTTTCTGTTGTTCAGAATATCAGAAAAATCTCAGGTCGATATACTGTCATTCGATTTGTTGGTATATACCATATCAGGAGCTATAATTCTCGATAGAAAGCCTTAGGAGACTTATTCTTATGAAGTTTTTCATATCTCACTAGAGTCTATCTTATGTACAGGATTCAAATTCAAAAGCGATTGATCAATTGAAAACGTTCTCTCATTAGATGAATGATGTATAGACGATATCAGTTGATAAATTCTACAAAAGATGATTGGAATTAGAAATATGATATCTAACAAGGGAAATCCTGCAACTAATAAATCACTTTTTGATCGAGACTATATGCATTATGTATATTCGAATGAGCTATAAATACCCTAAAAAGAGTTCGTACCCTTGGCTTATTGCTGCGGAAATACTGTACTTCTACGGTATTTTTTAAATGAATGTCATGGTCCTCTTCAGGAACACCATAAAAATTGAGTTTCAAATTTTGCATACAGATACACCTTCACGAGAATCAACTTAAAATTTTACTAGTACATAAGTTTAATCCTTCATGGAATCTCTTGAAAGTTCTAACATTAGTAGTTGTAGAATTTTTGAATCAATCTCTATTATCACAAAAATAGCTTATAGAAATTTAAGTTTACTTCAAAATATCTTTTTTGCAATTATATTTGAAAATTTCGTGAAATGATCATTTATGGTGTGCGAGGATTGAACATATAAGTTACTATATGAAAATATGCTTCTGTGAAGAGCTACTTATTTATTTTTTTGTATTACCTGGCTAATTTAAGACATTTTTCAAAGACTGGCTTAGTATTTGTTTCTGGTTCGAATCGTGTTTTAACATCACGATAAAAATCTCTTAAATTAAATTCATTAATATTATTATTTGTTTGACATTGTGCATATAGAGAAATAATATTATCATATTCTTCAGAAAATGGACTTTTATATTTATAAATTGTTGTTGTCGATGATGATAATGATGAATTCAATGAAGGTTGATCAATATCTTTTGAAATTTCTTCTTCATGTTCTATTTCTTTAGATTTTTCACATGATACTATTTCTCTATTTTTTGAACTATGTTGCCAACTACCTAACTTTGCAATATGTTGAAAACCATTTATCTAAAATTAAATTAAATAAAAAAAAGAAAAAAAAGAAAATAACTTTTTATTTACTTCGTATTGACTACTACGATAATGTATTTGTGATTCATCATCATTATTTATTGTTGTTGTATTATGTGAATTCGTATCAATAGGTGAATCAAGAAAATTATGACAACTATTTGTATTTATATGTGAAGATTGTTGCATAAAGGGATTATCATTTTTGAATACTGTCGATTTAACTTCATAATATAATGAATTTGTTGAATTATCATAAATGTCTGATGAATCTATTAAACGTGCATTTCGTAATGGCGTTGGTGAACGAGATAACATAGCAGATTTAAACTTTTCAGATACAGTTTTATGAATATTTTTTTCAAATATAAGTGGAGCTGTTGTTGGTCTATCAGATTTAGTAGGAATTGAATTTGGTAGCAAAACAGAAGTAGATAATTGATTTCTAATAGAATACAATAAATGTATATACATATATATATATATATATATATATGTAATATTTTCTTACCCTATTGTTGTAGATTGAGCTAATCGATATACATTACTATATACTTGACGACGAGTAAAGGTGGAAAATTTTTCATTATTTTCATTTGATATTTTTCTATTATAATCTGCTATTGAACTTTTGTGTAACTATAAAAATAAAATCTTTCTTTCTTATTAATCATTTTCCAACCCGTCATTAACATAGAATAAGAACTTTAGTAGACTAATCAGAATTGTTGTGTTTCTGTTTTCTAATTGAAATAGTTTTATAATAAAAGTAATTTTTTTTTCCTATGACGTTCTTTGTATTTATAAACTCAATATGAAAGAAAAGAAATTTATGGAATATGTGTATTTCATTCAGAATAGAAATAAATTAGTATTACTTTGAATGTACTATCTCACTTGATTGTTAGAATAAACTCTTATTAGTAGGGAAGTTGCGGATCCACGTTTTTGTGGACCCGGATCCGACTCGATCCAAACTCGAGGTTTTTTCCATTCATACCTGACACCCTTCGTGTGCATGAACAAGTAAAGGATCATGGTTTCAGCTATTTATTCGCTACTCTCAGAAAAAAACCCAACGTACAGTTATATCTTGTTGCTACGTTTCTCATCTGTAAAGCAACGGGTTCACAAAAAGGTGTAACCAGGCCCAACAAAAAATAAAAGGTTGGATCTGAACCTGGAAAAAAAATAACATCATGGACTCGGATCCAGGTCTAGAAGAACCTACAACTCCCTACTTATTAGTTAAGAAAAATTTTATATATTTACTTTCTACTTATTCTATGATTGAAATAAATCTCTTTTTTTAAGACGAAATACATAACTGTTTGCAAAAAAACAAAGGAAATTTTCTTTCTCTAATGTTTCCATGTTTTATGAAACAATTATAGGCTTTATTTTGTTGGTGGTCGTTTGTTGTTAGGTAGACAAAAAAAAATGACTTAATGAACATGAGGTTGTTTTTATTAGGTTGGAATATATAAGTTCTGCAAGTCTTGTTTTTTTCTTTTGTTTAACAACAAATTTATTTTACGACAAAGATACACTCACACACACACACACACAGTGTGGGATTAAACCATTGCCGGAAAGGTGGGTGAAGATTGTCGAAAATAATGTCGATTATATTGTTGATTGATATTGCATAGCTTTGTCGTAAAATAAATTTATTGCTAAACAAAAAAAAACTTGCAGAACTTACGTTCCGATCCAATATTTTTCAGTATATTAAAATTAACATGTATATTAGCGTGAAATTTGGAATCTGATATTGAATGAACATTAATTCAGACCATTTTCGGATCGATCTAAGAATTTGTCTGAAAAGCTTAGATGAATTTCAAATTGGCCCAGGTCAATGGCGGAATGAAAAGTTAATACGGCCAATGTCGAATTGACTAATATATCACAGTAAAGCAAACGTTAACTATTGGCACATGAAATTTTATTTTCAACAAAGTAGAGCATCTAATCATAATTAAATAACATAAAAAAACAATCAACGAAGGATGCAGATGTGAATGTAGTTCTTCTCTTTGCTTCACTCTCACATGCACATTCGTAATATAAATTAGCTTTTTTACTTTGTTCTAAGCAGTTATTCTTTATATACAAAATTCTCCTAATAATAATGATTATTTCTCAGTTCAAATGTACTGAAAGCATGAGTCATGGATCTCTAACATCACTGGACGCAGTCAGTTTTTAAATACAGAAAAGTTTGTTATGCGTTTTTCTAAAGTTTTTCGAAAACTAGCATGTATAACATGATCATAACCTTAAATACATTGGTAATATATTGATAAACAATTTATTCATGATAATACATCTCAAATAATGAACTGATCAACTAAGGTGTGGATGTAATAAATTGTATATTATCTATGAAAGAATAATGCTTTTTTTTGGTTATGTCTTCAAAAAGTGAATGAATAAAAATTAAGATTATAATACTCTTTGTGTTCTATCGTTTGAGAGATGAAAACAATTCAAATAGGGATGTATAGAAAGAAATATCCGTAAATTAAAGTCTACGAATTTTTTATAACTATAGGAAAATTTGCTTTGAGACAGCTTTGAAATTCTAATATAAAAGTTTCAATTTATACATGAATTTATGTTACAGACAAAATTGAAATAAATTTTTTTTTTTAATTTAAATATAAATTCTAATTTTCATTTCGATTACGAGAACATAACATGTACTTGTTATTTTTAAGTAAACAGAATATTCATTTACATTATTTATATTCTATCCGAGGAAATTAAAAAAATCAAAAAAACAGCATTAAAATAATGAAGCGGACAAAAAAAATTGATGTATTTCAAATTCATCGATTAAAATAGACATTTTCATTAATTTTATTGTATGATTTTGATTAAAAATGAAATTCACTTCATTTGCTTAATTAAAATGTCGCTTTTCATCAATGATTTTGAAAAACATCAATTTTTTTGTCCATTTGATCATTAGAAATGCCATATTTTTTGTTTTTGATATAAAATTCATGAAAATCATGGCATTTTTTTGATTCCATGGGTAATTTATATACAGATGACTTGTTCTGCGTGAACAAAGAACATTTATTCTTCTACAACAAGGAATACATTAGCTAAAAAGTTCTTCATTGTTTTTGGTTAGAACCATAGGCGGTGGAGCTCTTAAGTTTGGGGAGACTGAACGTAGTCTATGTTTTCTTCAGAGACAGCCTCCGGCAGTATAACGAAAAATTGAATAAATGCTTTTTTTTTTGTTATGAAGTGAAAATTTGAACGCTTTCGATGACAATCACTATCACAAATTCTAAGACAAGCCTACAGTTATGTTGAACAAAAAACACAAAGATTGAGTGTATGGACAAGAAATTTGGCAGTATTGCAACGCTAGATAGGCTAAGAGACCTTGCTTAAAGTCTTTTCGTACAGCAAACAAAGACTTTGCTGAGCAGCTTTCATATCTTTCAAGGCTGAAATAATCGTATTTTTTGTCGAAACGTGACCAGAATTTGATAGACATTTTAGTTTATTTTTGTTCGACAGTCGAGTGTAAAGGTTCTAGTTGTCATGGAATAAAAAAGTGATTAAAAATATTCCTAAATCCGTAGAGGATCTAGGATTTTGGAAGGGAAGCGGACGGTTATAGGCAGAACACACTTTCTAGTCTCATTTAAAGTAATGTAAACTCGTTTTTGCTTGGAAAAATTTCTTGAAGGTGGAAGATTGTTTCTTTTTTTTCTCGTCAACATTTGAAAATTTTTCCTCTTAATTGACTTTGCTCCACTGGTTATGGTTGAAATCAAACTCAATGAAACTTAATTCGATTGTCTAGAATAATCATTGATATGTAATTTTTAATATTGTTAAAAACTTTCATATCCGTTTCTGACTTCTTCAATTACATGTAGGCATTGGGCAGTTGATACTTTCATATGTCGAAAAATTTATTTGATCAAAAAAAAAATCATTTTTGTCAATATTATATTCATCCCAAATATCTTGTACTCAAGAGTTTGATAAAATAATTGGTTATTTCTTCTCTATCGATTCATAATGAACATAAAATAATAATTAAAACTTACATTTGCCATAGAATCTTTATTTCCTGTTTTTGTTCGGTGCTCAATCGTTGATTTCTAAAAAAAACATAAAATAATTTTATATGAGAACAATAAAAAAAAAAAAAAAAAAGAATCAATAGTACATCTTGTAAGCTATACCTACATTACTCGCATGATCTGACCAAAGAGACGCAGATTGAGATCGGACATCATCCTTGAACTGAAGGTTCATGATTAACTAATACAACATATTTCTGTTGTTTAATAAAACAAGAAAATAAAATGCAATTTGTACGGCTCTCGAATACCTTTTTTGTATTCCTTTTCAATCACTCTATGTTCGATGACAGACTGTTTGTTCTTTTATGTAAACAGGATAAATTCTTCAGGCAAAACAATGTTTTATTACATTTACTTTTGTCTTTTCTTGTTCTTCTTATAAAAACACGTGAATGTTTTGTTAGATGGCATATCTGACCTCGTTGTTAATTAAATCAAAAAAATACTGCTCACCTCATTTTTTTTTTCTACAAATACACAGACACATAGAATAAAGAAAAAACAACACTTGTGATGAAATAACTATTTGTTAAAGAAAAAATTTTTCACTAACCATATTTAATGATGTTATACTAGGTAGAAAAAATAATGTTTGATTATGTGAATAACCAACATTTAGTGTTGTTGGTCGAGATATATGTGGAAATTTTTTATTGTATTGATTACTAGAAAGTAAAAAGTTTTCGTTGACTAATAAATGAATACGTTGATATTGTCTTAAATAATCTTGACGATTATATTGAAATTGTTGAATATATAACATCTGTATTGTTTGATTGTTCGTGGTATATGACTATCGTATTAAAAATTCCTTCTGTATTTTAGTGCTTTTACTTAACAAAATAATAGTAATAAAAGAAATGCTTCTAGTAATTGAGCATGCAATTGTTTCTATTCTTCAATTTTCTGTAGATATTTTCTATAACAATAGATTCTTTTTGTTTTTCTAGAACGTTTCCATTTACTTAATTCAATCATTATTGGTTCTATGATATGTAATATAAAACGAAATGAATAGAGAAGACATGATCAATATCATGGACTACAATTTGCCTTTTAGAAAAGGCAAAATATTCAACTTTTATTTTGGATTTTTTTAGCTTCAATGATAGATTATATCGTGAAACTTATGAATCCAATACATTAGGTATTTCTGATGCACTTATGAAAAATGCCGAAGAGCACATTTCTTCAATCTTTTTAAGGTGACACAATAAAAATTAAAAGAAACATGTTTTTTTTTTGAGATTTTTTTCTGTCTCTAATCGTTGCTTTAAGTCAGGAAAGGTCTCGAAAGATATCTAAAAAGATTCTCTACAAAATGAACAATACTACCGGTCATTTTAATAAATTAGAACTTGCCGAGTCATGATCTTCCAAGAAACAAAGGAATCTAGATTCCGAAAGCCCTTGAAATTCTATATGTTTTGAAATATTACTTACGAAGTCAAAAGATGTATACGAGATTTTAGTAGGAGCTACAGTTATTGCACTAAGTGATAAAACCATAGAAATCAGTTAGAATGCTATTCATATTTAGCATTTTTTCGAAGCATAGAATAATATAAGAGTAAAATAAATAGGATATTTAAAATCAGCAGAAAAACCTTCATTAAATCAAATTTATGTTGGCAGAATTTATTTTTTATGAAAAACTTGCCTGTACTCTAGCACAACATTTTTTACGAAAAATTTGACTGTGGTATCTCTCAGAGCTGGTTTTTCATTAAAGATACATTTTGCTAACACATATCTGATCTGATGTAGATTTTCTTTGCGCTGATTTCGTGTGTGCTATTTATTTTGCTCTAAAAATTAACTATAATAATGAAAATTACTAAAAATGAATGACTTTGGTACTAATGTGAGAAAAAGTTCAATTTTCTCAACATAAAAACAAATACTTTTAAAGTTCAGAATCTGATAATCCAAAATGAGATAAGATATTTCATCCCATCTCATCTCATCTCTTCTTATGAGAAGTTAAATAAGTTAACTAAAATGACTATAAATATATACTCTGAGATAAATTTAGGTTACCTTTATTCGACCTTATTTCATCAACTTTATAAAGCGTACATTCAGCTAAATAGCATTTTTATACTCCATTTTTGATGCTGATCATGAATCTGAAGTCATAGTTTTATTTGGAATAAATCTAGTCTATATAGTGACCAATGGTCAGTCAAAATGGTTATTGAGGACTATCAAAGTGTACCAATTGTGGTCTCTACTAAAATCCCGTGTACGTCTTTTTACAGTTAGCAACGATTAGAGACAGAAAAAAACCTCAAAAAAAATATTTCTTTTAGTATTTATGGTCGTACCATAAAAAATTGAAGTATTGTGATCTTCGGCATTCTTCACAAATCCATTAAAAAAACCTAATATTTTGGATTCATATGTTTTACGATATGATCTGTCATTGGAGCTGGAAAATTCGAGAAAAAAAATAGTGGCGAGCGCTCCTATGTAAATTTAGCCAGTCTTCTGGCGGACTTTCTCTTAAGAGAATGAGTATTTTACTAATTATTATAATGCTATAATGTAACGCACAAAACTTCTGAAGCACGCATTCTATTTTTAATTCATTATATATTCTTACATAGACAAATAGATCAGATATATACTTTTTATTTGGATTTTTTACGAATTATCGATAGAAGCTATTTTAATAAAATTATTATTTTTTATTTCAGATAATTATTAGAGTCTACTGGAATCGACATTTGATCAAGTTTTGCTATCAATAATTTTTGTCAGAAGATTCATTTGATTCAATTCAAATGTAATTGTAATTGAGTGGTCGAGTAGAAATATTTTCATTTTCCGATATGATATCATCCGATTGAAACGTTATATTTGCCGAATTTATTGGCTGGATATATGATGGATTTGTTAATACATCTGTATAAATTATAGTTGATGATAATTCTTTTCCGTCTGTATTCATATCATTAGATACAGATTCTATCTTATCTGTCGATATAGTTCTGTTGTTGTTTCCTTCATTAGATGTAAACATGTCTTTAATTGCCATGGATTGTTCTGGTAAAATATAACCCATAGGTTCTTTTTCAATGTCATAATTGTTAGACATCGCTAATAAAAAAGAGTGTTGATTTGCAACACCTATATTATCTCGTGTTACATCTGGCTTGTCACCACTATATGTAATAGAAGTCGGTGAAATCAATGATTCCATCGGTTCATCTTGATGAATATAATCTTCATATAATTTCGATGTGACAAAAATGTTAGCAGAAGAGTCTTTATCTTTAGTTGTTGGGATTTGTATTAATGGAATAATATCATTAATTTTCAATGGCTCATTTGATTCAAATACAGTCGGATCCATAGCCAATGTTAATATTTTACAAGCTAAAAGTTCTGCAGTAAGTGTAAGATTATCCTGAAATCTAGTTGATAAATTATTATCAACATCAGTTATCATTTCACTATGTAACAATTCATCATCTTTAATTGTTTCCATTGTTGCTGTACTCATGTCTTTTCTTGCCAATGTCGAGCTATTAAATGTTAGAGAATTTCGTTCTTCATCATCCGATATACTATTCTCCTCTGAGATGGACATTAAATGGGATTGGTCACTAGACATAAAATTGATGTCATGTATCACATCAGATAATAGACGAGCAGCCATTATTGTAGCTTCAGAATAAATTATTTCGTATATATGGTCTGTTGTTGATTCATTGACATCATCAATAGTTGTCATTTGAATGTTTGGTGTGTGTGATGATGTTATAGTTGTATTTTCAGGAAGATCAGAAGTTTTCGATGCATGATCCATGGAAGAATCCGTTATTTCAGTATAAGTATCGAAAAACTCATCGTCGGTCTCCTCTTCCAGTTCATCTATGTCAGAAACGTCCAAAGTTGGGTCTAAAAATGAATATAAACTTCCAGTGTCGTCGGAGAACTGCGTCGGAGAACCAATTGCACGTAAATTTTGTTCCACTTCTATCTCGTTTTCAGTAATTGTAGCAGTCATTTGTGACGCTTCAGTTGGAATATATTTCACATGAGGTTCATCAATAATGTCTGTAAGAGAAAACTCTTTAGGAACGTTTGGAATCGTTTTGATGTTACCTGTTTCTGCTATCTTGAGGGTAGTTGAGCTGGAAGATTTAGAGTCTTGTAATGTATCTGACGCTGTGGAAGCGAGAGATAGATCAGAATCCGTTACTGGCTCATATGACTGTCCACTATCTTTGATTGTTTGCATTGTAGTATCGAATGATGGCAATGTTTGAAGGTGAAACGTTTCTTCCTTCTTTGGTGTAGGAGTCGTTGTTTCAGGTTCAACAATTGTCTGCCCTGCATCTAACAATTGTGATTGCTCATATTCCAGAACTTCCTCTGGCTTCACTTCTTCGAGGGCTAGCGTTGCTTTGGTTGCAAGCATTGTATTGTCGAGCAATGACATTGTTGGGAGATGAGGTTGTGCTTCGTTCTCCGGTATATCAGTTGTGGTTTCAGGTTGAAAACTTGTTTCTTCTGCATTCAGCAAATCCGATTGTAAGTGTATCATAGTTTCGTCTAGGTTTCGTTGATCGAATCCTACAGGTCCTGTGATGATATTCGTTGGAATATCATCATTCATTTCGAGTGCAGATATATCGATAATCGGTGAGTTTCCAACCATTCTTGCAACGTCGAAAGTTTTCTCCTTATCGAGAACAACAGATTTCGCTTCCGGCGAGAAAATATTTTCAATGGCCATTGGCGTCACTTTTGATGTAGCCTGTGTTCTGTTGTCTCCACCCTCATCCTCAGGTTCCGCTGCGGGTACTGATATTATTGTCACAGGAAGTGTTTTCGCAATTATTGTTTCACCGATAGGTTTGGATTCAATAGACACAGCAGGTTTCGTTTCGGATATGGATACATCTACAGTTGGGACTAATGCACCTGTTGTTGTATTTTCCAAAAGTTTTTCCATATCCACACCATCGTGCTTCCTTTCTGGTTCAGCTATATTGTCAATTAGAATCTCTGTGACTTTTGTTTCAGCTTCGATAGGTTTCTCTCTATCTATGATATCGGTCTTCGTCTCTGGAGCTGTATGATGTCGTACAGGCAGAGTTTCAACTCCTCTTATCGAGGCTAGAGGTGCCTGCCTCTCCATGACATCAATCTTCGGTATTGCAGCTGGCCAATCTGCTTCCTGCGCTGTTCTACTTTCCGGTGCACATTCGACAAACGTTCCTTCCTTGCTCGCATCATTGTTTCTTTCCAATGCGGTATGAAATCGTACAGGTAAAGTTTCAAATTCTCTTCTCGCGACTGCAGGTGTCTGCCTCTCCAAGACATCAATCTTTGTAACTGTTTCCGGCCAATCTGTCTCCAGCACTGTTATATCTTTTGATTTATATTCTATAGGCTTACGTTCCTTGATAAAATCAGTCTTCGTTTCCAGCGCAATCAAATCTCGCACAATTTTTGCTAATTCGTCCACTGTAGTTTTCAGAGGTTTCTGTTCCGCCGTGACATCGGCCTTCGTTTCCACTGCAGTAACATCTGGCGCCAGTACTGTTATACCTTCGAGCGTCGTTGCATCAGGTTTCTGTTCCTCGGTGATATCCATCTTTGTTCCTAGCGTGCCGAGATCTGGCACGAGTTCTGTTATGACTTCCACTGTGGTTATTTCAGGTTTCTCTTCCTCGGTGACAGTAATATACTTTTGTGATTCAGCCATATCTGGTACCAGTGCTGTTACGTCTTGCAGTGTGGTTTCCA